TAAGCAAAACCATACATACTGCTGATGACCTGATCGTTACAAGTCTAGCGCAAAAAGGCATGATCGTCCCGCAGGCCCATTCAAAAGGGTTGTACACGCTGGTGATGGTGATGATGAGAAGAGATAAAAAAGTTACTGCCAACAAGGAGAATCTGAATGGAACTGGAACAGTTGATCTTGGACATTTAGAAGGTATAGGGTGAAAATTTTTATTCGACGCTCGTCAGTTCTGTTTCTGGCACTGGAAGGCTGTCATGTATTTCATTTTTCGCTGCCGTTTTGCACCGAATTTCTCATAAGAACGTTCAGCATCGTTACTTTTGGCGGCTGAAGTAAACGTATAGGTTGCTATAAACTTCATCAAGAGTCGGGGTAAGAGTTGGAATTGTCACTCCCATTTATACTTTTTATAATAAGTGAAATATGTGTAAATTTTGCATTCGAATTTTGGTGTACAAAAAGATAGAACAAGTTTATCGAAACAGCATCATTTCAGGCTTATGCATAAATTCACAAAAAAATGAGCGACTTTCTATTTCATCACAAAAAAAGTTTCATCACCAAAGCAGCTTATTCCTGAAAACCTAATAACAGTTTCATAAATTCATTATAAGCAATCCGTTTTTTTTTTTAAAAATAAAAATTTTGTTTAAAATCAATTGAAACTTCTATTAGAACAGCCCATTTTCTAGTACCAATGCTGCTGTGATAAAGGAATGTATTAAAAAGCGATTTTTTTTCAGCGGTCTTTTTTTGACCCCAACTGAAACAAGTAAATCTTTTTGATCAGGGCTGTCTTTCTCCCTCTATTAATTTCATCACTTAATCGCTTACTTGTCTTCTTTCAAGTTTGATAAATATAGTTCGCTCAAAACCCGTCAAAATCGCAGCATTCTTTCAAGATTTTTGTCTTTTATTGCTGCTTATTTTCTAAAGCATCGATGATGCTTGGCTGGGCCAGCCGTGCTGTAATAATCAAACCAATAGTAATAAGCAGGCTGACTGCCGTGAAGAAGAACAGAAATACTCGATCCAGGATAACAGCTAAAAATTCCCATTCCAGAGTACACTGTCTGCGATACTTCATCGATTTCACTTGAGAAGATTCTTTCTACAACAGAAAAAAAAATATTTAGGAATATAAGAAGATGCGTTGAAGCAATACAAGTTCTAGCATCATGTCTGTCGTTCGACTCGATCTATGACGGCGAGCTAGCAACCGGAAGGTGAGGAACTGTTGAGAATCTTAGATATTGCTTGCAAATAAAAATACGTACCCAGGCTCTTTAAAAAAAATACTGTGTGTGGCAATTTAGCGTAGCAGGCCTTAAAAAATGAATGGAGTGACAAATTAGTAAAACTGATTAGTCTACGATGATGAATGTTGACAAAGACTCTAAATGCTTTGTTAAAAAGCTTGTTTAGTACGTAAAATAGGCAGGGTTACGCTATCTTGTTCAAAGATCTCTGCAATCAACGAGAATTATTGACAAAATGTAATGAAACATGAAAAAGTGTGAAAATAGAAACATAAGGTCCGCGTAATCAGACGCACGTGTTCTTTCGTGCTTGTCAACCAACGTAGGGCACACAGCTTTCCAGATGAAAAATGTGAAATAATAGAATAGAATGGACTGAACTATGTGTCAAGTTGTGTTAGGGTCCCTTAGCCTTAACACAGACTGAAATTTGCATAAGGGTAGGAGCGAGAATCATCAGTACAGCCTCCTAAAATCATTAGACTTTTAATATTAAGTCGAACTCAACAAATTTTGGTACACGAAATTTACGAGGCTCTTGCCAATCGGTTCAGCCGGTAATTGGCAGAAAGAAGAATCACTAACAAATGGAAAGCCGAAAACCGTTTTGCTTTATAAAATCGGTGTTAGGTGAAGAGTGAAAAAAAACCGCCCGTCTGCTTGCTCGGTCATGTTTACAAACTGTTCACAAGAATTATTGTTAATTTTATTCTGTATCTTTTTCAGACTGTTTGTAACCTAAGTACCAGAACCGTTTTCTTCCAAACCCTAAATTAGCTCGGTTAATTAATTTCCAAAGATTTTTTTTTTAATTTAGATGACAGGCGCAGTAAGAGAGTTTGTCACCTTTATCGAAGTTTCGCTAGTGAACCTAACGAATTCGGCTGCCGAACTCCACAGTGACAAACGTTTGCCTTCGGTGCGTAATTTTGATACTTTATGCTTCAAAATCGATGAGAGCCGCTCGCTGTGCGCAGATTCTGGCTCAGCTAAAACATTTCTTTCGTACATAAAGCAGAGATGTTTTAAAATAAAATTTGCATGACGTTTTGGCTTCCGAAAATTTGCGCTACTAAAACATTTGGGGTTTCAATAAAAAAATCGTGTTTTCCTTACCTTTATTTTTATTTCTTACAATTAAAGAAATTCGAGCCCAGTTCTGTTTTGCGGACATTACGCCATCGGCCGGTGCAACATCATTTTTTTTGACTATCTGTGCAGCAGTTTTTGTATCTCCCACTGATATCGATGACTTACTGAGAGCGGACTGAAAAAGTATGAGTTACATTCTGACGGTAAATCTCATTACTGGCAAAATTATACGAGCCATTGTGTATGTAAGTGTGGGAGTATATACAGGACTGCGAAAGCTAGAAGCTGAAATTTAAGGAACAAACTCCTCCAACACTCTACAAAATCAGGATGGTAAAACCACCATACATCTTTTTCTTATCTTGGCCAACGTTCCTTTAAAACGCGGAAAAATGCAAAAAAGGGATAGATCTAGAAATCAGCAGGGTCTCAGGTCCCAAAAATTTTTGGCTAACTTTATAACTCAAAAAAAAGAAAGGTCAATTTTTTAAATAATTCATAGCAAATTTTCAAGATTCAGCACTTCAGTTTTGCTGTATCTTGTCCTCGGCAATCGGTTCTAAATTCCATTTGATCTTGTGACGTTTTCGGGAAGCGGGAACTGACAATTTTAAAATTTAAAATTTTATTTGCCTGCCTAGTGAAAAGTTAAAGCTTGCACAGTTTTTGCTCTCGATGGGAAAGAGAAGCACTCGGAAGTATTCAGAAGGTGTCAATTGTCATCAACATCCACCTTCTGGCAATACTGTCAATAGCATCTCATTTCGACGGTTGCTTGCAAAAAAGCTGATACTGATTTGGCTTCCTGGCGAATGCTTTCACCATCAAAACAATGAGAAGGGGGTTTGGCGAGTCTCTTTACCAGTACTCAAGCAAATATGCTCACTAAGTCTGGCGGTGTTTTCAATAATTAATTTCTTTGATGAGATTTTGATATCCTTGAGATAAAATTGTTTTACTACAGCAATGGTACCTTTTTCTGTTTTGGTACTTCCGCGCTTTGCTGCAAATATTTCTTTTTCCGTTTCAGCCTCTGTTGAGCAATACTATCCTGCAACTTTCAGCTAGCGAATTTTTTTCCTGTCATTTTGTCCAAGATACAAGTCGAAAAAAATGAAGAAATCGTAGAGGGATTCGTTTTCTCACTGGTGGAAATGAATTCTCGACGTTCAGCGCAAGAGCGCTACTAATCGCCATTACGTCATGCCCACTAGTGCTATTGTCTAGTTAATTTTTAAAATCTAAAAATTATTTGCCATGGTATTTCCTTGAGTTTTTGAAAAGTTATGACTCCATGATTTTGAATAAATCGTCGTGAAATGCATAGAAACTTCAGCATACATGTACTGCACAGAGAGCGCGCTTATAATGTACGGAACACAGGCACCAACAAGCGGTGAGAATCTGTCGTACTATCCCACATTGATACACATTAAGTATAGCTACAGTGTATGTACGCAAGGTAATTAACCCCTAAAAGAGCAATCCTTCTGGTCTATTTCATTTACATTTAATACATATATATATACATATATATATGTATATATACTATGTATATACATACATACATACATACATACATACATACATACATACATACATACATA